TTCGATGGCGATGTAAAATTTATTATCACATACGAGCCACCTCAGTTCGATGTTGTTTTTGAACGACGATAAAGTGTTTTTTGTTTATAAATGAAAAAATTCAGCTTTTTATATGTGGGGTAAAAAGCATATAAATAACGTGACCTAGTTATGAATTTATTTCTCAAAAACAATAATAATTTGGAAAAACAGTTGAAATATTGTGCGCATATTTATAGGCTAATTGGGTTTGTTAACAAGTGCAAGTCATATTTCCTATTTTAAAATCAATCAAATTCCTATTAAAATAACAATCAAAACATAGCATCTCATGTCATGGTTTAATAAAATGGGCAAGCAATACAAAACAGGAATGATTTATATTTCTTCCAGATGGAATAGCTCAGGTACTCGTAGCCTTGTGTATTATTCGATGACCACAGCGCGTTTCACTTGGATGATGAGACTAATATGTAAGAAGTTGGCATTATTTTAAATGTTTGAATCTTTTCTGTTCGACGTGAAAACACTTCAGAGAACAAATACTCAGTTTTTTAGATCAGGTTGTTGAACAAGTTGTCGCATTCAAGATTTTAATTACAAAAGTGTTTAGTGGAATATAAACTATAGAATAATTAATCTTCTGGCCATAACAAAGGGGAAATTAACATATGATGGTGTCCTGGTGGAGCATTGACGGTTATTGGTACAAATACCAGTGGCGGCGCGTCAATAGGGCCAACCGGGGCAATGCCCCGGTTGTTTTTTCGGTATAATAAAAAATATTCGAAAAATACCTCAATATCAGTTGCACAGACTGTCTACACTAGCCATATTCTCCCGACATGGTTCATTTTTCGCTCGCAAAGCCTTCGCCGAACGTCGACGGGGCGACGCCGATTTTGCCCCGGTTGCTCATTGTATATCGTATTCTCTCTTTTATCTTCCACTCGCCGCGTTTGTCTCGTTTGTTTTCTGTTTCTTTTACTAAATCATCGGGGCCGATCGGGGCTGGCCCCGAAATTATGACGACACAATGCCGACGTTTCTTACAACAACGTGTTGACATATTCACGCATTCCTTCTCGTTCGTTGGTTGCTTGAAGAGTTGATAGTTTCTTCGCCTTCTTTTTTGTCGCTTGTTTCGCTATTTGAATCAGTTAGAGACCTTTAGTCCATTTGCTTTCGATTTTCCACAGTCCTTTTGAGCTCCTCACTTCTTTCCGGCTTCGCATTTCTTAGCCTTAGACCTCATAATGAATAAGGTTGATGCACTACTTCGCACTCCGTTTTCGCAGCTGCCGCTGAAACAAATATTAGAGATACAACGTCTTGGGCCTTATCAACCAAAAAATTGTTTACTGGAACAATCCCATGACGGAGGAAAGCGTCGGCGTACATTCTGCGCAGAAACTTGGTATAAAAAACACGAATGGTTGTGTTACAGCAAGGACAAAAATGCACTTTTTTGTTTTTATTGCTTACTTTTTGCTACCGCCCGTGATGTAAATTTGGTTTTAGAGATCTTAACATCTTTCCGAGCGTGCCAGGGATCATCAATCTTCTATGGAGCAACTGGACAATGCAGTAAAATACCGAACATTCGGAAATGTTAATATTGCAGCACAGTTGGATGAAGGACGCGCGGTATCTATTCGTCGGCACAACCAAAACGTCGAGAAAAAGCGCCATGTTCTCGGTCGATTGATAGATGTTTTGAAGTTCATTGGTTGTCACGAGCTGTCCCTCCGTGGGCACGATGAACGGGCTGGCTCTTCTAATAGAGGGGTATTTTTGGATATGGTGGAATTCACCGCATCCCTAGATACAGTATTGAGAGATCATCTTGATGCCGCAACTGTTTCGAAAGGGACATCTAAGGAAATTGAGAATTGCCAGTTCCTTTCGATTCAGTCTGACGAGACAACTGACATCACGTGCGTTTCCCAACTGGCTGTGATTTTTCGGTTTGTGAAAGATGGTAAACCTACCGAGAGATTTCACAGCTTTGTACCAATCGTTGATCGCACGGCTTGCGGGATATCGGCTGTACTGAAAGAAGTGTTACAGCCTTACAACGCGAAGTCAAAATTGATAGCTCAAACTTATGACGGCGCGGCAGTCATGAGTGGGTCGAAACATGGTGTTCAAGTTTATATAAAAGAAGATTTTCCTCATGCGCATTTTTTACATTGTTATGCACACCAATTTAACCTCGTTATTAAAAATATGTGTCTTGATACCCCTTTCGTCCGTATATTTTTTGCAAATGTTTCGGGGTTTTCTTAATTTTTTTCCGTTTCGCCGAAGCGCTCTGACCTCCTTCGCCAGATATGTAGCCGCCGTCTCCCAGCTTGTGCACCAACACGTTGGAACTTCCAATCACGCGTGGTGCAGGGCGTGTCCGAAATTAGGTCTGAGCTCATTGAGTGTTTCAATGGCATTCAGAGCTCTCCGGTTTGGGACGAACGCTCTGTGAGGGAGGCGGCAGGTCTAAAGCGTCTGCTAGAAGATGGTGAGTTTTCATTTTTTCTCGCTTTTTTCTCCACAATATTCTATCGCGTGGATGTATTATACGGCGCATTGCAGTCAATGCTAATGGATGGAGCGTCTGTGCAGTCGTGTATTTCAGACTTCTGCGATGCTGTATCTCGTATCCGGGAAACAATAAAATACGACGACACATGGAGTGCTTCTTTACGCCGCGGGCAAACAACGCAGCGTTTGATTTTGTCTGCAAAGGAATGCTGTGACATTCTGGTGAATCAAATAGGCGATCGTCTGCGCACTGAACACCTTGCCGCGTTCTCTTTGATGAACCCCAAAAAATTTTCAAAATTTGCACGTCAATTTCCCATCCATTTGTTGGCTACTGTCTCCAAATTTTACCCCATGATAAACGTGGGTAAATTGGAAAATGAATTGCGATGTATATACACCAATCAAACTTTTTTGAACATCACATCAACTTGCGCGCTCTATGGGTTCCTCATAGATAACACTCTAGTAACTACCTTTGAGCGTCTGCAAAATTTATGGACATCATTTTGACGACGCCTATTTCTTCCGCCGACGCAGAGCGAACATTCAGCACGCTGAAGCGTATTAAAACGTATCTCAGAAACACAATGAAGCAAGATAGATTAAATTCCTTGGCTGTTTTATCCATTCACAGAGACTTTATTTCTGGGATGCATGACTTTAATCCGCGCGTTATTGAGCATTTTGATTCCAAGAAACCGCGGCGTGTTGCATATATGTTCAAGCAGTAGAAGTCTAGCAGCATATATATCTATGAGTGAGCGACGCATGTCCTTATCTTTGCATTAACTTTCCTTTCTCCATAGTAACGTTTTAAACCTTATTTTGAGTTTTGTCTGCTTTCCCGAAGTTTCTGTTAATATGTCATTGTATTTATCTGGGTAAATATTGCCTTTCCTTTTGAAAGAGGTCTCAAAATAAACTATGTCTATATTTATTAACCCCTTGACTTGGACCGGTTTTAAAGACACTTTCTTATCGTTAAAAATTGTCGCTTTTGCCTATTGGTTGTTACCGATGGAATGGTTTTTATACTCATAAAATGATGGGAGAACTTACAGCGCTCATCCTGTCCCCGTAGATGGGGTTGACTTGGTCCCGCAGTAGCTTGCCCAGGTTGTGACGACAAAATGACCACGCGCCGCCACTGACAAGTACTATTGGAGAACTCGCGAATTCGTTACCCTCAATGAACTAGCTTTCAATTTTATAACGTTATTTTACTATATTTAATTAGCTTATGTCGTTGAAGTACAGTACACTTACAAAAAATAGAACCAATAAAAGTCCTGATTACTTCTACAAAATTTATACATTTACTAAATTACTTATACACTTGAAATTATGTTTGTGTATGATTGTGGCCAAATAGTTCAGTATTCTAAGAAGCTTTGCACAAAAAATATGGTGTCTGTGATGTTACTAAATGGTTCTGTGTTTTGTGTTACCTGTTAATATAAGTTAATGTACGAATATTGAGAATCTATTAGTATTTTTTTGTGTCGTACAAAAGATAGGTAAGAAAGTTCTAGATGTAATTGGATATAAGACTAAATGTCAACCCCTTATATTCTATCCAATTAAAGAGTCCAGCTGCACACTAACACAAATTTATTTCTGTAACGTTCCGTCCGACCAGAGTCAGACTTCCTCAGACAAGCAGTTTACAACAATGGCAAGAAATAAATTTGATAAATAAATTTGAAATCTCAAATCAAGTATGACGTAACAATGCATAAACATTTAATTTGCATTTAGCCGTAGAAGTAATGATGGAAAAATTAGAACCACAAATATCAGTGAGGCTCATTTAGATGTGATTCAAAAAATTATTATTGCTTTCACGAAAATGTTGGGTAACTAAATGTAATTAAAATTAAGATTATGGGCACTTAGAGAACAATGAAGAAGTAAACCAACATTTAAACGTGAATCAATGCTTAGTTTGGTGAGGACCAATTTTAAATTAAAATAAGATAAAAGTTATTGCAGAATTTCGATCTTAAATAGCGTTGAAATATGTTAATAATTCATAATAATAAACGAATGAATGAACCATCTACTCGAAATATGCTGAATTGCATATCATATGCTACACAACATAAATGAAGTGGGCTTTTCACAACTTCAGGAAGATATGATAATAACGAGTCGTTTTATCACAGCTGCCTTACAGAGAAAAAGTAAGTTTACATAAGCGTTTTATTGATCAAATACTCAATGTCACACGATTATATGCTTTTATGATTCATAATAAAGGTTTTATTATGACTCACAAAGGCTTTCTATGCGATAACGAACAAACAAACAACAGAACGATCGACCAATCATAGCCTGGCCTGAATCGATGCGGTGACTTTTCCAAGAAAAATTCTTCTATCACGCACGAATGACTGGCGTTATCGGCACAGTCTTGGAATTGAAAAAGAGAAAACCATTACGCAGTCAACTGTATGGTCACATTTGAGCTTTACATAAGAATGGCTCGTCCAACAGCTGACAGAATGAGAGAGGTGAAAATATTTTTGTTATTTTTTGACGTTTCGAAAGACCTCATCAACACGGGTTTGAGTTTACGGTCATCTAGTAACATCTAGCGCAGGGCTTCCCAAGCTTTTTTCAGGACGACCCCAAAGACAACTTTCAAGTGTCCAGTGCGACTCCGGGTCAATGAATATGTTTTTCATGGAACTTTAGAGCTTCTCTCATTGGACATATGAGATTATATTAAGTAAAATAAGCTGAATCCAAACACTGATGTCACAATATTCAACTATATTTTCTATAGCATAAGCATGGAGCGATGCATATGGGCCTGTTTTACACTAAGCCATGGTACAAACTGCTAAATTTAACATGGCATGTCAAATCTCGGATGTTTTGTACATCCATCCTCTGCCATAACTCAGCGACCCCGGCGCCCCCATGACCTGTTTGCGACCCTACCTATTTATCACTCGGACCCAATTTGGGGTCGCGACCCCTGGTTTGGGAACCCCTGATCTAGCGTATAATACTCAAAAAGACCTTTCCAATGATATATAATTATTGATATATTGGGTGAGTCTTGGGGGTCGTATGACATGAATAAAAATAGGTATAAAGAGTTGAGCTGGATTGGTCGTCTGAAGCTGGAGTATTTGGCTAGTTTAGTTTTATTTTATGGCTCCGGTAGTACTGCGTAAAAGAAACAAGCTGTTTTTCGATTTCAGAATTTTATAAGTTTGATGGTTCAATGTTTTTCATGCCTTGAGTAAAACTTGAATTGGATTCATATTAATAGACAGTTGGTAAATCGGATTTAATACCAAGCAAATTCTGTTTTATTTTTTCGAGGGTGATATCGCAGACTATATATCGCTGCTAGTTTTAATATCCAGCTCTTGGCGTTTTTCCAAATACATTGTAGCTTCTTACACATTGATAGAAATTACCCAATTGAGCCAAGATACTCAACTTGAACGTTGTACTTTGTAATTTGGAAGAGTCAGCTTTGTAAATTGGTACACGATTTTTTGGACAAAGATGTACCCTATTTATTTCGTAAAATCAAAAATTCAAGAAATTCATGACTGTACGAGCAAAGCCGCAATAATGCACAATATATTTTTATTCCCGAGATTTATTCGGTTCTCCGTGTATTGTAGTTGAGCCGGAGAATGAATTAAACTCCTAATTCTCATTTGTAACTCTAACAGTAAATTCGACACTCGGATTTTAGGCCTCAATTACGCAACTTTTTTAGTTGGATTGCAACAATCTTATTATTATACTACATTCTGAAAAGCTCCAAAATTTTTCCACCGGGTCCTCGTGGTCTCCCTATCGTTGGATACGTTCCGTTTATGGAGAGAAATCCAGCGGTACATTTGCAGAAAATGAAGAATAAATATGGATCTGTAATGTCTGTTTATTTTGGACGTGGATTTTGGGTTATTTTGAACAATTACAAAACAATAATTTTATTGTCGTTGTATGCAAACAGGTAAGAGACTTGTTAATTTAAAATTATTATTGACTGACGTAGAAACGCATAATAAAACGCTCACATAGACGAGCTACACCGCAACGCTGCACATTATAGTTGACAATTTTGGAGTAACGCAGAAATATATTCTGATGACAAAACATTTAGTTACGAACAGTTTGATTTTTCTGCAAGATATCATTAAGAACATGAATTCACATTTGACGAGCATCACCTCCGAGACTTCACTAATGCATTTCTCAAAGAAATAAAGAATGGCCAAAATAATGATTCTAGCTTTAACGTAATATTGTTGTTAAATTTTCGAAATAATAATCATAATGTCAAACCGAAGTCGTTGTTTGCCATTTTATTATTTTGTCCAAGCAATTTTCACTACCCACGGAAACAATATGCAAAATATTCGTTTTTCCTGTTCTTAGAAATATTATATGGTCTACCATCGGCTATGCCCGTCCAAAAATAACTCTAAATGTAACATTACGCTCCGATGTCAAGACTTTTATAACAAGTAAGTGAAAAACGTGACTGAGATAAGTCACCTAGCTTTGCTTTATTGAAAAAAATTCTGGAAAATCAGAAATCGGAAAAAGCTCATAATCATACTTTTGTATCTGAAATTTCAAATTTTTTTCAATTTTATTCAGAAAATTGAACTCGGTCATTTCATACGAGATCTTTTTCAAGCTGGATTAGCTACTACCAGCAGCACTATTAGTTGGGCTATGCTATGTTTTGGTCACTATCCAGAATTCCGAGAAAAAATAGCAGAGGAAATTTCAGAAACAATAGATCAGACATATAATTCAGCCAATTATTGGGTGAAGACATCCCAATTTTGCACAGTTAACATAATGTAAATCATATATTTATCTGTCAAGCGATTGAAGAGTCTTCCTGTATCCATCATAGATGTATTTCTAAAAAAGTTCAAAACTTTTTCACCCTTGCGCATGTCATCAAAAACAATTAGACGTAGAATAAGTGTTACTATACGGTTGTTCAATTAAATTAAACAAATAGTTCGTAATTCCAGTTTGAAGTGCTGTGTTTGGCTTATGCGGGATTGAATATAATAAATACGTACTCCAAAGGTAAATTTAAAAATCCTACTGGCATGAAATCTTCTATGGAGACGTTCTCATATTCTATTACAAAAACTGAATAGGTTATATATATGGAAAATACAAATCCCATAGATAATACCGTTTACAGTAGCAGCAATCTCATTAAACGTACTGTAGTTTTGCACGGTTTAACTGACGTTCAATCTTAATCAAATTTAATTTAAATTTTTTCTCAACTAATAATCTTTCGCCTTAAAATGTTTGTTACTTGATGATAAATAAAGATACTCTTCTATTGCTCTTTTGTTTTTATGTACTTTTATTTTAGAATTTTAATCATAGCTTAGATTGTCTCTTGTTAAATTTTGTCGAGTGGGCGTTTAACAAGCTGTTGGCGTTCGTCAATTGCACAAACGTTTGCTAGAATTTTGATATACATTTATATTTAAATACTTTATCGTTCTATTTATTATTTTTTGTTTCTTAAACAGGTGAAGATGGAATTCTATCAATGAAACATCGAGATGAAATGCCGTTCACTTGTGCTTTTATATAAGAACTGATGAGGCACAGTACTCTGGCACCTTTAAGCGGATTACGTAAAACGAACGAAGAAGCAATTTTAGATGGATATAACATTTCGAAAAATACAACTGTAAGTTTCAGTACACTTGTTGCAGAAGCATTTGCAAATGTGTGAATTCACGAATTCGCTATCACGTAATTGGTATCATGATTGTCTATAACTGAACCGCATCAATTCTGGCGTCATCCGATATATGTAATGTTAAACGTAAATTATCACTGCGTCAATTGAATTTCTGTCGAAATTTTAGATTACATTTATTATATTCTATCTAATGTTTTAAAAAAATTAGGTAAGGGTATTTTTACATAATAAAGATCAAGTTTATTTTTGAAGAAATTTTCATGTCATAATATATTATTCAAGGTTTTGGAAAGTGTTTGGCAAATTTTCAATAATGGTGATATGAATTTTGACATTAGGTCAATTAGGTTGAATTTTTTTACCTATTTTAATTTTCGTTTAGACATTAATTAAATATATCAAATCTTCACCATCGGTATTCGTCTAAGCAAACACACTTTATTTTTTCAGTTTTATGCAATTTGAACAAACACGGTTAAGCAAAGTCATCAGATATACTGAGAAACTATACATGAACCGCCGAAGTACAAAGAGTTATTCAGACGTAATTGATAGCCTAGGATTCCACATTAACTGTACCATAATTAAATGAACTTCATTTCAGGTTTGCACGAACTTATGGGCAGTTCATCACAATTCTGATTATTTTAAAAACCCCGACGGTTTTCGACCTGAGAGATTTCTCGACAGTGACGGTAAATTCATCCACTTAAATCACGTGATAGCGTTTTCTGTCGGCTCTCGTCGCTGTATTAGAGAAAAGCTTGCAAGGATGCCAACTTTCTTGTTGATAGCAGGAATTGTACAGAAGTTGAGAGTTGTGATGGATCCTGACAATCCATCTCCCATCTTTTTACAAGGGTCGAAACAGTTTTGTAACCTATGAGCTTCCTAATTTTGAGGGACTTTTAAAAGAACGTGAACATTTTTACGTTCGGAATGAAGTAACATAAATAAATATAAATTTATGTAGATGTGTTCTGAACCCGTTTCAATTTTTTTTCAAACAGTAACAACCATCGCGTTGTAAATTTTGATCCAAACTTATTTATATGTAGACATGGAATATTAGTTGGCGTTGCATATATCAACATTTTATAAGGCTGTTTTTTAAAAAAAAAAAGTTGAAACTATAAATTCCGAATAAACATTCTGCTCTAATTATTATTAATTATAACAAAGTGATGCAGTGACAATAGTTGGGATTCAATGATCTTTAGGACGTGAAGTGCGCCCGTTACAGAATTTATATGCTTATATTAGCAATAGTATTCTATAGAGTGTACTTGGATAATTTTGAGGTTGCAAATGTTTAAAAAGCCATACAATGTTACCTTGAATTGAATGTTTTAGTTTAAAGTTCAAGTAAATTTCGAAGTATTGAAATCAAAGTTTGGAACTCGGGCAATACTTATCTCAACAGGAGCCGCACCTCTAAACAATTTCATGAATTGTGCATCTTGTTTGTGTCTCGGCAACATGCGCCATAATCAATATAATACTCTGTCATACCTAACTTGATCTGTTGTCGCTTTGCTGTGCGTTGAAGTTACACAAGCATGACTACGCGTTTGAGAATCAAATATATTGTACAATTTTATGGATTGATAAAATGAATGTTGATGAGTATTCAGGTTCAGTAGGAGATTGTTGTTAGCTTTGGGTGTTTCAGATCTAGTCAAAGAAAAGTTTGTATTACCCTAAAAATGCAAAAAAGGACATGATCTGTTCAGAGACCAGTGGATATTTTCACATGATGTTGATTTGAACTTTTTCATGTTTTGAGGTAAAATTTGATGTGGATTCATACCAATATTAAATAATGAAAGTTTGAAGTTGGTATATTAGCTTGACTACCAAGTTAATCGTGTCGTTTCATTTGTCAGAGAGATTTATTGCATGCTATACATCGTTAGGCCTTACACATCGTTAGAAATTGATCATTTGATTCAGAAATCAACAAATCACTCTATTTGACCTACCGATATATTCCTTTTTTGATCTCCTTATTTCCGAACTCCAGCCTTGAAGCAGTCAAATACTCGGAATACTCTCCTAACTTCAAAAATTGATTTCACAAGAATATCCCTTCGTTTCAACCTTTACATCAGGGGTCCAAAACTGCGGCCCGCGGGCAAAATGCGGCCCGCGAACTAATTTTTCGTGGCCCTCGAACGTCCCGACCTTGAATGCATGATACAAAAATTTATCATACATTTATCGTTGTCTCCACATGGATTTGTGCGTAACGAATGAAGCTATACGGCGCTTTTCTGCAGCGTCAGTTTTGAATTGTATGTCGTTTACTTGATGTTGGTTGTAATTTTAAAAATAAATTTATTTTGATTTTTAGAATATAAGAAAGGAAATTTTTTTCCTGTGGAATAGGAGATGCCAAGTCAGCGTCGCAGTTATTGAGGGTTTTAATAAAAAACGTCATTACAGAACGTGTCATTCGAAATAGGAATTTGGTCCCGAGACTCCAGGTTGCGCCACTGCGACAGTGCGAAACGTGTAATGTTCCCGTCACATACATCATTTTGCCGATCACTGCTTTACATTTCTGTTGCGTAAAATATTAAATCCAGGTCCGATGCCAGCATGTTAAATGTTTCGTCATATTAATTTAACTGTGTTCATCGTAACTCGCCATTGCGTCGACTTGGGGGGAAAATAAAAAGTGACTACTACTCTAAAAACCTACGCCCATCTGCGGACATAAAATACACGATAAACTACCCGATTGAAAATGGATTGGATTTGAATTTTTGCGTCCCTGGTATTTGTCAACTTTGAGCTATTTATTCAAAACCAACTGCCATGTAAAATTATTTTTGAGTTATGGCTGTTGGAAAATACCATGGTATGCGTTTAAATCCCCGTGAGTACAAGTCAAAATTTCGCAAAGTAATCAATCCACGACCGATACGAGCATATTCAAGATTTCTTGCTTTATTCGTTTAATGTAACCCGCTGTTGCGTGATGACTAAAAATATGCATTAAAAGCATTATTACTCATAAATGCCGCGGCCATAAAAATGTAAGGCATTGTGTCCGATCATATATTATTTCGATTCGTATTTCCTGATAAACGGTAAAACTGGTAAAGAAAATCTAACACAATTTGTGCCGTCGGCACACCTAATTTTGCGACTAACAAAGTCTAAAATACATTTTATTTATTATTGTCGAGGGCCTTCAAATACAAAACTCGTGGTGTTGCCATTCGGATTAGTTTTAGTATTTACAATGCTGTTTTCCAATAAAAAAAAAATAGATTATGGATTCACCTCTTTATTATCTTCAGTATCTCGTCGTCGTACCTCGTTTTTCAAAATAAACTCACAATTTCATGGGAGAACCGAAAAGTAATTAACATCGGCATATGTTGATGGAAACTTGTGAATATTTAGGGAGAATAAATACCGACGTGAAGGTGTTTACGGCCTGATGTCACTTGACCATGTCTCGTCACCATATAAACTGTGACGGTCTCAGTTCAAAGATGAATGAATTCAAATTTATGTCATTGTTCCACTTGGGATATTAAATATAGCAAGCCATTGAATCTAAAATGCATCCTCTATTAATGATGATATTCGCAATCCCGACCAACAACATTCCATGCCTACATATAGTATAGACGTCGTTGCTGCTACCGTCTAAATGTATTTGTACCATTTATGAATTCATCTCATCTCAAGTAACAGAATATTAAATCTCTAAAAAACAAAAAACGTTCGCTAATTAATAATATTTTTTGAATGAAATATTTCACAGCAAAATATTCAATTAGGAAAAAAGTCAGGGAAAGCGGGATGATCATAAACAAAAGAGCAATGCGCTGCAGTGGTTGCTTAAATACTATGTTGTCCTAGAAGCTAAACTGGCATGTATGCGGGGATTACTATGTTAATTTGTGTCCGTGGCAATGTTCGAATAAAGTTCCCTGATCAAATATAATTTAAAAATTGATCAAATTAAAAAAGCGATTGCTCTGATATCAGTCGTTAAAGATAAAATTATAAAAAAATTAAAACATACCACAATTTTAGTGACATTATTTGTTTCACAATTTAAAATAGATTTTGACTTCTTTACTGTTGATTAAAATAGTATTCCAGTACATGCAAAAAAAGGTGAAATATTGAGAATTTTTGAGAGAATGTAAATTGTGTTCAGTATATGAATAATCTGAATAAAAAAAATTTAAATTACGAATTTTAACTTAAGAGTAAATAATTTGAGATAAATAACTTTTAATAATAAATAAATTTAAAAATAAATTTAATTTTATGTCAGAATCCAATTGAAAGACACTGATATCTGATAAAGAAATATAATAACAATCACAAATCCTACATTCGTACTTATTTAATCGATTCGATATAACATGGCTCCCAACTGAATTTATTGAAAAATTCATGAATTATGCTTATTTATTTTGTAAAATTTATCATTTAAGAAAAATAAAAATTTTAAATATAGCATTTAAGATAAGTTTCGATTTGTAACAGTTTTTCTTGCTTTAAAATATATTTTCTAATAGTAATTTTTTATTTAGAGCGAACCGGAGATAAGATCGCCCCAAATTGCTTTGTAACTATTGATGCGTAACAAGCTGAAATTATAAATTATGATGTCAAACGTCACGCTGCGGTTAACAGGTTAACCGATTAATTTTATCCGGTTAACGGTTAAAGTGTTTTTCTTGAAATTCCCAGCCCAACTATATATAGATCAGTTTATTCGCTGATGTAGACACAGTTTAAAGCAGTGGTCGGCAAACTTTGATAAATACCAGAGTCGCAAATATTCAAATCGAATCCATTTTTAATCGAGTTGTTTATTATGTATTTTATGTAAGCAGATTGCCCCCCCCCCCCCCCCCCCTAAGTCGACGCAATGGCGAGTTACGATGAACACAGTTAAATTATTATGACGAAACATTTAAAATGCTAGCATCGGACCTGGATTTAATATTTTACGCAACACAAAAATGTGAACTTGGCAACATACCTGCTAATCAATATAATACTCAAATACTTTGACTTCCGTCGCATTGTTGCGTATGACAAATGTGAATTTGGCAACATACCTATCAATCAATATAATACTAGACACTTTGACTTTGACTTCTGTCGCATTGTTGCGTATGACAAATGTGAACTTGGCAACATACCTATTAATCAATATAATACTCAGACACTTGACACGCGTATGACAAATGTTTAAATATTATCATGTAAATCAGTGGTCGGCAAACTTTATGTACTTGCGGGCCGCATATAAACATTTCCTGTAGCGTACGGGTCGCATTAATTTCTGCTTGCGAACAATCGCCACATTAAATTAAAATTATCCGCACCCGCACTTTTTATTGCTGTGTTACAATGAGACGTTTATGTTGCCCTTTCCAAACAATACATTGTTTTTATTTACTTGATGGTTTTTCTGTACCAAGACCAAGGAGTTGAAATTAAATGATAATCTTGTTGCCACGCAGTACGTCGTTCAAATGACAATCTGACAAGCGAGTACGAAATTTATTGTGAGATTACGAGATCATACACCATGAGTATTCATTGCAGCTTAAGAAAGATGAATTCGAGTATTAAACTTACATTTTATTTTAAGTTTGCCCGAATTTATCAGCAGTTCGTCACAACTCTGAATATTTTGAAAATCCGGACGAATTTTGTCCTAAAAGATATCCCGTCCGTGACGATCGGACTATTTTCTATGTATAGCATCTTAAAATATGCAACTATAGTATTTTAGAAAGGGTATTTGTTTAAATAGGAGATCTAGTATTGATTAAAGACAATCCAAGAGTTATGTAAAAGTTTGACCAAGTGAAAGAGAAAGTAGATATATAATTAATG